CTGGTCAGTGGTGTAAAGTTTACTGTATCTGGTCAGTGGTGTTAAGTTTACTGTATCTGGTCAGTGGTGTAAAGTTTACTGTACCTGGTCAGTGGTGTTAAGTTTACTGTATCTGGTCATTGGTGTTAAGTTTACTGTATCTGGTCAGTGGTGTAAAGTTTACTGTATCTGGTCAGTGGTGTAAAGTTTACTGTATCTGGTCAGTGGTGTTAAGTTTACTGTACCTGGTCAGTGGTGTTAAGTTTACTGTATCTGGTCAGTGGTGTTAAGTTTACTGTATCTGGTCAATGGTGTTAAGTTTACTGTACCTGGTCAGTGGTGTTAAGTTTACTGTATCTGGTCAATGGTGTTAAGTTTACTGTATCTGGTCAATGGTGTTAAGTTTACTGTATCTGGTCAGTGGTGTTAAGTTTACTGTACCTGGTCAGTGGTGTTAAGTTTACTGTATCTGGTCAATGGTGTTAAGTTTACTGTATCTGGTCAGTGGTGTTAAGTTTACTGTATCTGGTCAGTGGTGTTAAGTTTACTGTATCTGGTCAGTGGTGTTAAGTTTACTGTACCTGGTCAGTGGTGTTAAGTTTACTGTACCTGGTCAGTGGTGTTAAGTTTACTGTACCTGGTCAGTGGTGTTAAGTTTACTGTATCTGGTCAGTGGTGTTAAGTTTACTGTACCTGGTCAGTGGTGTTAAGTTTACTGTATCTGGTCAGTGGTGTTAAGTTTACTGTACCTGGTCAGTGGTGTTAAGTTTACTGTACCTGGTCAGTGGTGTTAAGTTTACTGTACCTGGTCAGTGGTGTTAAGTTTACTGTATCTGGTCAGTGGTGTTAAGTTTACTGTACCTGGTCAGTGGTGTTAAGTTTACTGTACCTGGTCAGTGGTGTTAAGTTTACTGTATCTGGTCAGTGGTGTTAAGTTTACTGTACCTGGTCAGTGGTGTTAAGTTTACTGTATCTGGTCAGTGGTGTTAAGTTTACTGTATCTGGTCAGTGGTGTTAAGTTTACTGTACCTGGTCAGTGGTGTTAAGTTTACTGTACCTGGTCAGTGGTGTTAAGTTTACTGTACCTGGTCAGTGGTGTTAAGTTTACTGTATCTGGTCAGTGGTGTTAAGTTTACTGTACCTGGTCAGTGGTGTTAAGTTTACTGTACCTGGTCAGTGGTGTTAAGTTTACTGTATCTGGTCAGTGGTGTTAAGTTTACTGTATCTGGTCAGTGGTGTTAAGTTTACTGTATCTGGTCAGTGGTGTTAAGTTTACTGTACCTGGTCAGTGGTGTTAAGTTTACTGTACTTGATCAATAGTGTTAAGTTTACTGTACCTGGTCAGTGGTGTTAAGTTTACTGTACCTGGTCAGTGGTGTTAAGTTTACTGTACCTGGTCAGTGGTGTTAAGTTTACTGTACCTGGTCAGTGGTGTTAAGTTTACTGTACCTGGTCAGTGGTGTTAAGTTTACTGTACTTGATCAATAGTGTTAAGTTTACTGTACCCACAAATTATCTATGTCTCATCCATTGATGTAATGGTGACAGGTCTGGCAGAAGACGCACTTGGGGACCTGACCTAACCTAACCTAACCTAACACCTGGAGAGGACGGACCAACTGGTCCATCCTGACTACAAGTGACGGGATGACGAGTCCCTCACACGCTTCCCCAGCTCCACACATCCCTCCTCCTCCACAGTGTTGTGACCGAGCCTCCAGATCAAGTTCAAGTTCAAATATGCTTATCGAGACAAGAAAGAAATACATCTCAAAGGGATAGAGTAGCTATTTCTACCCCTAGATCACCCCCTCTGGCTAGTATTGTGGCTAGGCAGCTCAGGCTAGAATATAATATAAGTCAACCAATCCTTGTAAAAATTTATTGTATGTATGTACCTTACCTAAATAAAATTGAATTGTATTGTATTGTATAAGCTTGGAGTTGCTATATGGTCAGATGTAACAGCATCATATATGCTATATGATGCTATATGCATCATTCTCAACACGGCAGAATTTTTTTTGACGAACTGGAGAGCAGATGAAAGAAATACGACCCGCACAAGCACACGGTCCTGGCAGAAACAAATGGGCATTTTTTTTTTCACCTGATGCCTATGATCACCTAGCAGAAAATAGGTTCTTCGGAGTTACGGGTTTCATCCTGGGGATGTGTGTTTGTGAGGGGGTCAGGAGGCAGTACATTAGACAAACGACGGTTTGAAAGGCGGAATCCAAGAGCTAAGAGCTCAATCATGAAGGCACAAATACTAAATACACACACACACATGACTAGGAAAAAGCCCTGGGAGTGGACATAGCACCAAACCAGACTCCAGAGCCTCGTACATATATAATAACGTCAGCCGCATACTCTTCGCTGGCAGAAGTCAGAACACAATTCAGGAACTTAAAAAAAGGAGGCTTTAAGATCACTTTATACCGCCTATGTGAGGCCAGTCTTAGATACAACAAACTCAAGATATCCCAAGGAAGGCTGACTAGTTATATCCGTACACTGGAGTAGGAAGGAGGAGGAGGAGGAAGGGAACTATCAGGGGGAAGCCACCGAGCCATTACGACTATACAGCACTGGGAAGGGGTCAGGATAAGGATTGGGGATGGGACGGGGGGGAAGAAATAGTCCTTCCCCGTCCCACTATGCCGCCCCATTGTGGAGCCCCCATCTTAATAGAGTAGGAAACTCGTGCAGAAGCAACGAGACTTGTCCCAAAATTACGAGGGATAAGGGATGAAGAGGGGCTGAAGGAACTAAACCTGATGGCGCTAGAAAGGGGAGAGAGAGAGAGAGGGGAAACATGATTCAGACGTATAAAATACTTAGGGGGGATTGGCAGAATGGAAAAATAGTAAATGTTTACGAATGCAGATGATGAGTCACAATAACGTGACTGAAATATGTTGACCAGACCACACACTAGAAAATGAAGGGACGACGACGTTTCGGTCCGTCCTGGACCATTCTCAAGTCGATTGTGTTCGACTTGATTGTGTTCCACAATCAACTTGAGAATGGTCCAGGACGGACCGAAACGTCGTCGTCCCTTCCTTTTCTAGTGTGTTTACGAATACCAATAGAACTAGAGAGTAGCGGGTAAATCGAATGACCTAAAGGAGCAAGCAGGTTGTAGAGGCTAACTCCATCCATAACCTTAAAAGCAGATATGATAGGGAAGATAGGTCAGGAGTCACCGCATTAGACAACCGGTGGCCTGGAAAAGCGGGGTCCAAGAGCTGGAGCTGGATCCTACAGGCAACAAATAAGTGAGTACACACACACGGAATTAAAGACAACAGCATTATTATAAGTGCTAATTTTCTTATGGAAACTTCCCACTCTACACACACCTTCTACCATATATAGATATAATAAATATAATAAATATATATACTATATATATATATATACTATCATATATATCTATATATATAGAGCGTGAAGATTTTTGCCATTTTATTGTAATGGTTCGTTAACATCCCTTAACAGCATTATCTTGAGGTTATCTTGAGATGATTTCGGGGCTTTAGTGTCCCCGCGGCCCGGTCCTCGACCAGGCCTCCACCCCCAGGAAGCAGCCCGTGACAGCTGACTAACACCCAGGTACCTATTTTACTGCTAGGTAACAAGGGCATAGGGTGAAAGAAACTCTGCCCATTGTTTCTCGCCGGCGCCTGGGATCGAACCCAGGACCATAGGATCACAAGTCCAGCGTGCTGTCCGCTCGGCCGACCGGCTCATTAGGGCATAGCATTAGCACAGTGTTATATGGTACTCATTGATGCTTAACCCGACCCTACGGTGATGGACAGGTGCCCAGTACTGTTCAAAATTGGGTTGAACTAACCCCAAGCATCTACACTCCAACCTTGAACAGACATTTTAATTTGTTGATATAATTTCCCCTGCCCGCTAGAGGCTCGAACACCCGACCTGCCGCTTGGGAAACGAGCGCTTCACCAACTGAGCTACGAGCTACCCACAATACGGAAAGATTTAAGAGGCACCAAACTGGAACATTATACCATCCCCCATGCGTCCACCTGAGCTCACAAGTATTATCAAAGTAAGAAAAAATTATATTCACAGAAGGAAAAGCAGATTCCAAACTGCTGGAATCCTTCGCTATTATGTTAGGTCGTTGCTCGGACGGTGTAACGCTCGTCACCCAAGTGGGAAGTCGGGTGTTCGAGGCTCCTAGTGCCCAGGGGCCAGATTCACGAAAGAACTTACGCAAACACTTACGAACGTGTACATCTTTCCTCAATCTTTGACGGCTTTGGTTACATTTATTAAACAGTTTACAAGCATGAAAACTTGTCAATCAACTGTTGTTATTGTTATAAACAGCCTCCTGGTGCTTCGGAACTCATTAACTCTTTAATAATTGGAAACAAAGCCGCCAAAGATTGAAAAAAGATGTAAAGCTTCGTAAGTGCTTGCGTAACTGCTTCGTGAATCTGGCCCCTGGTGAGTGAAATTATATTTTCCACGGCATCGTGGTTGGCAGTTTATTGTGGCTGCTCTGGAGAAGGTGCAACACCAGGCAACATAAATTATTCAGGAGCTAAGTCAACTCACGTATCAGGAACGGTCGAGGGCCACAGGGCTAGCAACACTACACACCAGGCACGAGGCGGATCTTACTGAACATTTTAAAATACTGAACAATTTGGAGAATGTTGACCCGAAAAATTTCTTCAAAAGGTGAGATGTAACACAAACAAGGAGCAACGGTTGCAAGCTCAACAAGCCACAATGTAGGACTGAGAACAGATGTTTTTTCACCCACAGGGTTATAACCCATGGAACCCCCTACCCGCCGAAGCCGTAAATGCCAAAACTCTGTTAACCTTTAAAGTACGGCTGGAAAAGATCATCAAGGCAAATGGTGAGAGAGGGAGACCTTCGACAAGCCGCCGGCTTCCTGTCCTCGTAGAGGCCACTAGTGTTAGTGGCCCTCAGGTAAACTCGGGTAAATTAAATGACTCGGGCGAGTATCATTTTATTCTTCTGTGCTCAAGTGACAGCTCGAGGAAGACATGACACTCCAGTTTGGTGGCTCTGGAAGCCTTCTCTATGGTGGCTCTGGAAGCCTTCTCTATGGTGGCTCTGGAAGCCTTCTCTATGGTGGCTCTGGAAGCCTTCTCTATGGTGGCTCTGGAAGCCTTCTCTATGGTGGCTCTGGAAGCCTTCTCTATGGTGGCTCTGGAAGCCTTCTCTATGGTGGGTCTGGAAGCCTTCTCTATGGTGGCTCTGGAAGCCTTCTCTATGGTGGCTTTGGAAGCCTTCTCTATGGTGGGTCTGGAAGCCTTCTCTATGGTGGCTCTGGAAGCCTTCTCTATGGTGGGTCTGGAAGCCTTCTCTATGGTGGGTCTGGAAGCCTTCTCTATGGTGGCTCTGGGAGCCTTCTCTATGGTGGCTCTGGAAGCCTTCTCTATGGTGGGTCTGGAAGCCTTCTCTATGGTGGCTCTGGAAGCCTTCTCTATGGTGGCTCTGGAAGCCTTCTCTATGGTGGCTCTGGAAGCCTTCTCTATGGTGGCTCTGGAAGCCTTCTCTATGGTGGCTCTGGAAGCCTTCTCTATGGTGGCTCTGGAAGCCTTCTCTATGGTGGGTCTGGGAGCCTTCTCTATGGTGGGTCTGGGAGCCTTCTCTATGGTGGCTCTGGGAGCCTTCTCTATGGTGGGTCTGGGAGCCTTCTCTATGGTGGCTCTGGAAGCCTTCTCTATGGTGGCTCTGGAAGCCTTCTCTATGGTGGCTCTGGAAGCCTTCTCTATGGTGGCTTGCTGTGGCTCAGTTGGTAGAGCGCTCGTCTCCCCAAGCGAGAGGTCGGGTGTTCGAGGCCCCTAGTGCCCACGTGAATGAAATGATATTATCAACGGTACTGTGGTTGACAATTCATAAGATATAAATATGCGAGAATGTTCAGGGTTGATGGCCAGATGTCTTGGACTAATGTAACCAAACTTTGCAGGGTGACTGGTGGCTGGTTGGCGGTGTTCACAGGTGGGTCGGGGTTAACTTATATCGAGTATAAGTTGATATAACTACTATATCTTCACTTACATTCATCAAGCAGATTATTACCGCACGCCTATTAAATGTTAGTCTTATGAGACCTGGTTGATACCTGGTTGATGGGGTTCTGGGAGTTCTTCTACTCCCCAAGCCCGGCCCGAGGCCAGGCTTGACTTGTGAGAGTTTGGTCCACCAGGCTGTTGCTTGGAGCGGCCTGCAGGCCCACATATACCTGGTTGATGGGGTTCTGGGAGTTCTTCTGCTCCCCAAGCCCGGCCCGAGGCCAGGCTTGACTTGTGAGAGCTTGGTCCGTCCACCAGGCTGTTGCTTGGAGCGGCCTGCAGGCCCACATATACCTGGTTGATGGGGTTCTGGGAGTTCTTCTGCTCCCCAAGCCCGGCCCGAGGCCAGGCTTGACTTGTGAGAGCTTGGTCCACCAGGCTGTTGCTTGGAGTGTCGTTCATTTATTGATAACACAGTGTGTATGGAAGACGGTATTAGTGATAAGGGGAAAGTGGCCACTTAACCAGACCACAGATACACTAGAACATGAAAAGACGACGACGTTTCGGTCCGTCCTAGACCAATTATCAAGTACATTGTGGCCCACAACGGACCGAAACATCGTCATTTCCTCTTCAAGTGTGTGGTTTGGTCAACATTCTTCAGCCACGTTAGTCTCACTCATCATCTGCAAAGTGTGTGGTGAAGGGTAGGAAAGGTGGTCATGGGGGTCGCTTTAGCACTATGCCATGTGGTATTTATTTCTGTGATGCACACCCCCAACCTGTACATGTTGGTCATGTACATTGTACCCCACAGCAATTACCGTGCAAAATTGGACAAGACTAGCCCCACGCGTCTAGCCTCCAACCTCGAACTGACATTTAATTTCAAAGGTATTAACATACACTGCAAGCTACAATAGCAGGGATAATAGCAGTCTCCGTGGTGTAGTGGTAAGACACTCGCCTGGCGTTCCGTGAGCGCTTTGTCATGGGTTCGTATCCTGGCCGGGGAGGATTTACTGGGCGCAAATCCTTAACTGTAGCCTCTGTTTAACGCAACAGTAAAATGTGTACTTGGATGAAAAAACGATTCTTCGCGGCGGGGATCGTATTCCAGGGACCTGCCCGAAACGCTACGCGTACTAGTGGCTGTACAAGAATGTAACAACTCTTGTATATATCTCAAAAAAAAAAAAAAAAATTAATTAATCAAATCAAATCAAATCAATAATTTGAGATAAAACTAACGTAGATATATGACCGAACCTAACCAACCCTATCTAACCTAACCTATCTTAAGCTAACCTCGTCTACGAGGGGGCCTCGTAGCCTGGTGGATAGCGCGCAGGACTCGTAATTCTGTGGCGCGGGTTCGATTCCCGCACGAGGCAGAAACAAATGGGCAAAGTTTCTTTCACCCTGAATGCCCCTGTTACCTAGCAGTAAATAGGTACCTGGGAGTTAGTCAGCTGTCACGGGCTGCTTCCTGGGGATGGAGGCCTGGTCGAGGACCGGGCCGCGGGGACACTAAAGCCCCGAAATCATCTCAAGATAACCTCAAGATAAGATAACCTAAACTAACATAACTAAATCAATAATTTATGTTCTTAATATAATATAATAATAATAATATTTAAAATAAACAAGGAAACAATTTTTTTGCAAATAAAATCACTCGGCCTATTAGGCAAATCGGGCCTTGCATAGTAGGCCGAGAAGTGCGTTCTGGCTACTAGGTAAGACATATATATATATATATATATATATATATATATATATATATATATATATATATATATATATATATATATATAATGATGTGTGGTCTCGTATAACCAGGAAGGGAAATGAAACAAGAAATTGCTTAAACACGTTCGTGTTAATCAACATGAAAGTGCACAGGTAATTTCTCGTTTCATTTTCCCTTCGTGGTTATACGATTTCCCATTGTCAACCATGTATTAATTTATCTGTGATTGACACACACACACACACACACACACACACGTGTGTGTGTGAACCCGATTCCCGGCGTCTGCGAGGACCGGTGGGCAGAGTTTCTTTCACCCTGATGCCCCATGTTACCTAGCAGTAAATAGGTACCTGGGAGTTAGACAGTTGTTACGGGCTGCTTCCTGTGTGTGTGTGGGGGGGGGGGGTGTAGGGAGAAATTAGATAGTAGTTAGTAACAGTTGAGAGGCGGGCCGAAAGAGCCAGAGCTCAACCCCCCCACAAGCACAACTAGGTGAATACACACACATATATGCATAGTTCACCTGGGTACAGTTTATATATATATATATATATATATATATATATATATATATATATATATATATATATATATATATATATAATATAATCTTAAGCTAACCTCGTCTACGAGGGGCCTCGTAGCCTGGTGGATAGCGCGCAGGACTCGTAATTCTGTGGCGCGGGTTCGATTCCCGCACGAGGCAGAAACAAATGGGCAAAGTTTCTTTCACCCTGAATGCCCCTGTTACCTAGCAGTAAATAGGTACCTGGGAGTTAGTCAGCTGTCACGGGCTGACCGTGACCGAATATAATAGACCGAATATATATAATATATATATATATATATACATATATATATATATATATATATATATATATATATATATATATATATATATATATATATATATATATATATATATATATATATATATATACATATATACATATATATATATATATATATATATATATATATATATATATATATATATAATATATATATATATATATATATATATATATATATGTCGTACCTAGTAGCCAGAACTCACTTTTTGGCCTACTATTCAAGGCCAGATTTGCCTAATAAGCCAAGTTTTCCTGAATTAATATATTTATTCTAATTTTTTTCTCATGAAATGATAAAGCTACCCATTTCATTATGTATGAGGTCAATTTTTTGTTATTGGAGTTAAAATTAACGTAGATATATGACCGAACCTAACCAACCCTACCTAACCTAACCTAACCTATCTTTATAGGTTAGGTTTGGTTAGGTAGCCGAAAAAGTTAGGTTAGGTTAGGTTAGGTAGGTTAGGTATTCGAAAAACAATTAATTCATGAAAACTTGGCTTATTAGGCAAATCGGGCCTTGCATAGTAGGCTGAGAAGTGCGTTCTGGCTACTAGGTACGACATATACATACATATATATATATATATATATATATATATATATATATATATATATATATATATATATATATATATATATATATATATATATATATATATATATATATATATATATATATATATATATATATATATACATATATACATATATATATATATATATATATATATATATATATATATATATATAGAGAGAGAGAGAGAGAGAGAGAGAGAGAGAGAGAGAGAGAGAGAGAGAGAGAGAGAGAGAGAGAGAGAGAGAGAGAGAGAGAGTTTCGGCCTGTTAAAGACTAGTCAACACCAGACTGACTTTAAGGAGAGAGAGAGAGAGAGGATACAGGCCGACACCTGGAACCTGACCAACCCATCTCTAGGGAAAGAATTAACCAGAAACAGGTAAGGCTTAGCTTAGAATGGTCAAAGAGGATTAAGCGGTCAGAGAATAAGGATGAAAGATTAAAGAAAAGCCTCATGAACACACAATATATGAATATAAAATTATAATGAGACATTGTAAGCCTCTCTATCAGAGTTTTTTCTTAAACTGTTGTGCAATATTATAACTTAAAAATGGATCAAGTTTGTACATACCTGTACTAACATTAAGAAGATTTGGACACTGATTATAACTTATTGCTTATAGTCATTATTTGGCTTATTAATAAGTACATATGTGGTACATGCTCAGTTATATTTTGTTTTTATGGTACAAACACTTCCTTTAGACTTGCTTAACACCAGTTTTAATATTAGGAATTTCTTTTACAGTTTTATTAAACAATAGAGATTTTATACAAAATTTGACAATATCCTGAGTTACTTTACAATTGATTTAAATATTTTGGTTTTATTTTATTATTTTTATAAAACTGTAATATCAATATAGGTATAGGTTAAGTACTAATTGTAATTAAGAAGCAATAAGATGCTTATCTTAACATACTAAGAAGGTTAGGTTAGGTCGCTACAGGTGTCCCCACCTCCCTCCACACTGTACCTGTAGTGAGTACTCTACCCACTAACCCTACAGGAGTCTGGGTATTCCTGCGTTCTCTAGATCGTAAATTCTGACCGGCCAGCCCCTCTAGAGCCCGTCAAAACAATAACAGAAACAATCACTCTGGGAAGGAGAACAATTCGGACCAACAATAACGCACCTTCCTTCCCTATAAAGATTGTACACCCTCCTCTCTAAGGGGTCACGCTTCGCTCAATTAATTTCCGAGTAATTTACACACCTGGAGCCAGATTCACGAAAGCACTTACGAACGTGTACATCTTTCCTCAATCTTTGACGGCTTTGGTTACATTTATTAAATTGTTTACGACCATGAAAACTTGCCAATCAGCTGTTGTTATTGTTATAAACAGCCTCCTGGTGCTTCGGAGATCATTAATTGCTTAATTTAATTAATAATTGTAAACAAAGCCGCCAAAGATTGAGAAAAGGTGGACAGGTTCGTAAGTGTTTGCCTAAGTGCTTTCGTGAATCTGGCTCCTGAAACACACACAAACACTTTTTGAAAACTTCTTTTAAAATGGTTTTGTTGACGAAAATACACGAATATATACTTTGTTTCAGCCACAGATTGGTGGGATCATCAGTGGTGCTCACGAGCGGACGAAACAAGTTACTGGGAGACAAAG